TGGGTGTTACTGAAGGTTGTCTGTAGGCGGGCTTGCCATGCGGTGTTCCTTCCCAGACCAGAGGCAGAATGAAAGTTGGCGCCGAACTCTCGCAATAAATAGGCAAAAAATCACGAGACCGGAAGCCGGAAACCGTTCGGAGAAATAACGATCGGCACTATTTCTCCGAACGTTCGGAGAAATAGTCACTTCCTAAATTTAATGTAGATAATCTTGATTTAGAATCTAGATCTAGATCTAGATATCTAGATCTAATCTAGATCTAGATTCTAGATCTAATAATTTTGATTCTCGACGAATAGGCCTAGATTCTAGTATAGATCTAGATTCTAGTCTATTCTAGATCTAGTGATCCAGACTCTGTATTGTTATATAGATCTAGAATCTAGACTCTAGAGTCTATGTGGTATTGTCTGTGATTTATATTACGAAGTGATTATTCGGACTCGAGTCCGAATATGAAATAATGTTATTCGGACTCTGGTTCTTGTCCAGCATGACATCACTTCCAACTTCCTGTGACTCGTGACTCCGGCTTCCTGTCCTGCCTCACTCGTGACTCGCCGCAGGCTGGGTAGAGACCGGGATCACTTCGGGCAAAAAGGCGTTTTGTGCAGGAGCCGAGTTTTAATCTTATGATGAATTTGAGGCCGGCCTGAAAAGTTATAGCGCTTCTAATAAATGTTTATTTGTCAAGAGGTCATCAGAAGCAATTAAAGATGGCTCTTTAGCGTGTGTCGGGGTCAGATGGGCGGGCTGTGTGCGTGTCGGGGAGGGGGGTGGGGGGGCACTATCGGTCCGGGCGTTGAACGTCGCATACGCGTCAGTCTTTTCCCCCCGGCAACTGATCATTATTACAATAATTTAATAAGCTAGTCTTGACGTAGATCTACATGTAATGAATTGTACGCTGGTCTATGGAATCAAAAGTTGCCGTATGCTCAGCTCTACACAGCAACACAACTTTTTCAGGATAAACAGCTCATAATATGCAGGTGCCAGGTGCTCTGCTAATCTTCAATTTCACCTTTTTCTACAACAAAGAAAGTGGGAAACATGGGGGGTGGGGGGGGCGTATCAATAAGGCGGCGGGCATCGGATCGGCAGAAAAGGTGTGGGGGGAGGGGGACTAAAAAATTGCGGAAAATTGGAAGCACTGAACGTTAGAACTATAGAACGAAGACACTTCCTTTTTTCCGGACCCGAGTCCGAATAACATTTTTTCATATTCGGACTCGAGTCCGAATAAGAATTTTTTTTATTCGGACTCGAGTCCGAATATGAGAAAATGTTATTTGGACTCGAGTCCGAATAACGACGGCCAAAACGGAAACCTGTACAACGCGGAAACGGAAAGAAAAATCCGCTCGTTTCCGAGGGTTTCACCTGTCCAAGACGGAAAATGCTTTGCCCGCTCAGCCCTCATTTGAAACAAAACTTGCAAGTTTGGTTCCACCGGCTGTAAACCGCCATGTGGGCGAGGAAGGGGAGTAGGGGTGCAATTTGAGGGTGGATGTTACCCCATCATATGAGCCCTGAGTGATGCAGATGGTCAGTGTAGTGTGGGTGTGAAATCTCACAACTGCCCATGAGAGGGCTCGAGTAGCGAGCCACTACGGAACTTTCCTGGGTAGCCAGAAGCCAGAGGTGTGAAATTAGTTTGACCAATGCCTGCCGCCCTGATCGCACGGCCAGCCGAGAAAAGAGTTCCTCACATCGTTGTTACAGTGATGGCAGTGAGGGGTGGCATTGGTGGGTAGGACTAAGGGTGGAAGCAAAGGAGATGTTCAAACGTTTCTGTTTTTAATAGGTCAAACAGTGGTCCTATGAAAGGCAAGCACTGGTGGTAATTGGATACGTAAGACTGACGCATATCATTATCGGAGCAGCTGAGAGGTGTGAAGTTTTGACCACTGCTTGCCGATCGGACAAGCGATCCTTGATCCCACCCCCCTAAATTCCCCTGTCTAAGACGGAATTTTTTTCCCGTTCCCTTGCGATTCCATCAAACACAGGTTCGACTGTATTTCTTTTTTTGTTTTCAATTTTCCATAGGGTCACAGAGTAACCAGATTTTACAGATTTTATGTGGTCTGTAGATGTGTGATGTCTTAGTATTCCTTTTTTTCATCAATCCCTTTAGACTGCCTTCAATGCTGGTTTTCTGATGCTGACTACTCACAGAATTCTATGGCGGGATCAAAGAAACAGAGTAAGTGAACACTTTAAATTATACAGCTGATTAGATTGAACCTTTGATCATTTCTTGGTGTGCTTGCCTTGCAAGATGTTGAATCTGTGCAATGTTTAAAAATACCTCATTGGTTGAAGCTACCGTTTGTGGGGCAGAGGCCAGTTTCATCTCTAAGTCTTTATGGTCATCTCTATCAATACTTTTCACCCCTGGCAGGGTATAGGCCACATACAAGCTCCTTCCATTTATCTCTATCCTGGGCCATCCTTCCTTGCTTGTTCATGGTCTTTATGGTACATTTATAGTAATAATTACTAATATTCATTGTTGTTGTTCATTTATGGTACATAAAAATATAATGTTGTTTATTTATGGTACATAATGTTCGAACGTTCATTTATGGTATGCATAATATTCATTTTCTTTCTTTATATTCGTACAACACTTTTATTTTGCCTGTGGAATTTTTGTTCTTGTACTTGTGATGTTAATTGTCCCATGAGGTACTAAATTATATCTACATTTTTTAACGCTGGTATTCGTATGTTTAGACTTTGTTCTTATCACCTCAACAAATGCTTTATATCCTTTTACAGAACTGTGTGATTAGCCTCCCACTGGCTAATGTATCGGGAGTAGATGAACAGCCATCAGGCTTCACAAAGAGGTTTGTTTTGTTTAGTGAGATCATTGCGTTGAGATCGAACCTTCTCTATTGAGGATTAAGGAAAAATGTCAAACATGCCAATGTCACCTGCCAAAAGGTACTTTATTGTTTGTGTGCAGAATGAAGGAAATTGAAGATTGGACTGAATAGGCTTGCTAAGTAAGTCTTTATGAAGTTGTGTAAGCTATCAGGCTATCTGTTGTTGGTTTTTTTGGTAAGTGTTTTATGGCGCTCACAACTGCATAAGGTCATAATATGAGCACGCGGACACACCAAACATTTTCAGTTGGTAGGAAATTTTGAATTTTTTTCGGATGGCAGCCGAAGTCTGCTGTTATCAATTTTAGACCACCTAGGGATCTTTAAGGTGGGCAACTTGCACACGGGACCTCAGGTTTTTTCGCCCTTGTCCGAGAAGGCTAGGTGTACATTTTTCCTACCAGCAGATCAGGGGTTTTGCTGAAAGACAGCAGTAAGAAAGAGCCGAGGAATAGCAGTTGAAGGCTGCAGAAAGAGTCAGGAGCCCAGAGGAGGGTCAAAGGAGGGTGGGGGCAAAAAGTGGAGATGAAAGCAGATGACAGAACATTGCTAGAGAGCAGGAAAGGAGGTGAAAAGAGATAATTTTAGAGAAGAAAATTTTTTTTCCCCATCGCTACCCGGATTCGAACCCGGGACCTTTGAATGAGAGGCAAACACCTTAACCTCTAGGCCACCTGAGCCCCCTGGCTATCTGTAGGTAATGCATTGTTATAAAAAAGGGTTTTCGCTCTACCTGTGAACTGCCTGCATAAATAGATTCTTTTAACTCCTTCTGGTATTTGTTGTGATCAGCTTTAAAGTACTCCACAATTCTTAGGAACTGTTGGCAATCTAATGTACAGTCAAACCTGTGTAAGACGGCCACCCATTGTCAAGGAGAAAAGTGGCCGTATAAGACAGGTGGCCGTCTTAGGCAGGACTGATC